ATTGGATTCTATTGCGTCTGTGTACAGAGAAACAATAATCTTTGCGCATGTGTCATATAGATCGTGTTTTTTTGGCGTTTCTTGTTAATTGCCCTACTAATTAAAGGAGTCCATTATCAGTCGATCATTATACACCATTCGATAGCCCTTTTCAAGAGCTACATGTCTGACGGTTCAAATTTGAAGAAGCTCATTTTCGACTTTTTGGCCAAATGTCCGCTTGAATGCCCACTGTGCGAGTGTCTTGTCGTCGGAGGCAGTGACTTTTGTGGTCAACCACTACGAGGTCTGTCCTCAACTGTGGCTTGTTCTTTGACCTTGGCAATTTTGTATTTGACAGTCCGAATGGGTATCTTCGTCAGACGAGCAATTGCAGCAGGAGATTGGTGGCCACTGTTCCAGAAGTGTAAAATAGTTGATCGCTTCGTTTTCAGTAAAGTAGAATTTCGTTGTCGAGGCATTTTTTCCCAACTGAAGAATATTTATGACGATATGTGGTATTCACAGCTATATATATAGGCCTCTCCGCACCTTCTAGAAAGTTCTCGAAAAATCTCTCCAGAAACTTCCAGAAAGTTAGCATATGCGTGAGGCAAGAACTTTTGCACTTTACTGTATATATATAACAAATTTTCGGTTTGTTGGCAAAGTTCCTTTTCAAAAAGTACTTTAATGAATTAGTAATTAAAAATAAAAATAAAAAAGAACTTTGCCAACACAATCAAAATAACCGTGATTTATTGTTGTCGGCTCTACTAATTTCCTCTCTCCTGTGAATACAATTTTGATCTTCAGGTTTCCTTTTTTTAAAATTTGGAAATGAACTTTTTTTTGTACTTGTACAAGTGATCATACAGTAGATGCGGGATGTAAAATGGAAAATAGAATTGAAAAAAGAAGATAAAAGTAAAGATATGAATCACGAAGTAAAGTGAGAACTATCTTATTTCTCTCTATTATTTCTGTCGATGATTTTTTATCTGTCTATTTCAGAATAGACAAGCAAAGCGGTAAAAAACAGACAGCGTATTATGAAGAAAAAAAGATAAACAAAGAAAAATTGCATCTGTCACGGTGTGTACTTAAAAAGACGTCTGAGACACTGAACTTTGACAACACCTAAAAAGGAACTTTGCTAACAACCTAATTAATTATGCTGGCAATGTTCTTTTTTTTATTAATTAAAACATTAACAAAAAAAGAACTTTGCCGATATATTGGCAAGGTTCTTTATACCACTGCTGGCAAAATTCTTGTTAGCAGTGTTCGTCTACCCTCTTTGTCCGCGCAAAACAGACGGAACTGTGTGCCAGAGTACTACGGAAATTTCAGACACTGTCCATAATTGCCTCAAGCGACTCTATTACTTCTCATCAAGTTACGCAATATCTTTGACACGTCATTATGTAATTTGATATTATGCAAGGTTTTTCTTCAGAGATAACACGTATAAAAGTAAAGAACAGTAATAACACTTTCTACCTTTTCATTTGTTCTTGGAACATAAAACTCGTAAGTAAAAACAAACTATGTTAATCAATGGACGACGGTCTTATGGAAAGACCATCGAGATTCATCATATTTCAACCATTTCAGAATGACGACTGATGACGATCAAACCCTTATATCTGCCTGGCTTGAAGAAGAATCTCGATGGCGAGAAAAGTTTCAGGGGTGGGATTTTTCACAACTCACTAAAACAGGTCGAATATTGTTCAATATGTCTGAGGAACAACTTGGATGGGATTATACACAAGTTGTGTGCCAAACACTGGCGGAAATTGCTGGCGAAATCATAAATAGAGAAATATTATTATTAGATTTAGGTACAGGTGGAGGAGAGTTTCTTGAAGCAATGTTACCAAAATTATATGAATCGATAGATAGAAGTGAAAACAAATGGGGTTTGAAAGTTTATGCAACCGAATCATATAAAACAAATTTTCAATTAGCTAAACAACGTTTGATATCTTACGGTGTTACTGTCATTGAATCTGAACCTGATAGTCTTAACAGCCTGCTACCGTTTTCGAATGATCATGATCCAAACTTTGATTTAATCATATCTCGCCACACATGTTATAATACACGTGAAATTGATCGACTTCTTAAGCCTGGCACGGGGTATTTCATTACTCAACAAGTTGATGGTGCATCCAATCAAGATTTAATTGAATTATTTCCAGGGCATAAACCACGATGGCCTTACTACACACTCGGATATGCTACATATATATTCAAACATCAAGCGCCACGAATGAAACTGCTAAGAGCAGAAGAATCAGAAACAAAATTACAGTTTAATGATATGGGCGCATTGATTGTTTATCTACATGCAGTACCATGGTTAGTTGAAGATTTTACAGTTCAAAAATATCGAGATGTTCTCCTTAACTTATATCGTAGTGGGGAAAAGCTGAAATTTAAAAGTAAGTATATGCTTTTGAAAGCAGTGAAATTATCTAATAAGTAACTAGCGAAGACTATTTTTTATAGATGCACATTTTTATTGATACTAAAAACTTCTATGTTTCTCTTTTTTTTTTAACATCAATTAATTTTATTTGTTCCCAGAGGGTTAACAAGATAAACTATACATTAGTTTTACGCATCAAGAGATAACAGAATAAATAAATAGATGAGAATTAAAAATCTAGACACAA